CATTTACAATACTCGTGTGCCTTGTTCTCGATGTTCACTTTTAAAGGAATAAAGAGAATTATATATAAATGTAAATAAATTGTCCAAAGAGATAAAAAATTAAGGGATATTTTTAGTTTTTTTAGTAAAGGTTGGAAATGTCTATTCATGATAGAAATGCAAAAAAAGAAAATTATTATGTTTAAAATAATAATTTCATATGAAATACAACATTAAAAGTTACATTATAGAACTTGACTTTCTAAAAGCGTAATAAAACAATCAAATAGTAGACAGAGAAAAGACTAATTGTAAAAGAAAAAAAGTTGTTAACTTAACTAAATCATTTAACTAAATTATTACCTTTTTAACTGGAATATTTAACTATTATAAATCTAACATGACATTTATTTAACTTAAATATTTCAATATTTTAATTTAAAAAATAATAATTTAGTTAAACGGTTTAGTTGAGTTAACAAAAACTTTTTTTTCTCAATGTACACGTGTGTGTGAGACTTTAAAAATATACTTGGATATAAATACATTTATATTATTAAACGATTAATATATCTCGTGAGGTTTAATAAATAATTAATCTGTGTACACTGAGAAAAAAAGTTGTTAACTTAACTAAATTATTGTCTTTTTAATTGGAATATTTAACTATTATAAATCTAACATGACATTTATTTAACTTAAATATTTCAATATTTCAATTAAAAAAATAATAATTTAGTTAAACGGTTTAGTCGAGTTAACAACTTTTTTCTCAGTGTACGTGTGTGTGTGTGTGTGTGTGTGTGTGACTTTAAAAATATACTTGTATATAAATACAATTCCCACATACGTCACAGTACGCGCTAAATATTTCGGCAGCTAACACGTCATTCGACCTTGTGACGTAGCGAGCTAACACGTCATTCGACCTTGTGACGTAGCGCGCTATTGTTTATATACGCGACGACCTCCCCTCATTCGCACGGCGACATTCCAACGGAGAAAGTAGCGATACGGACCGCTCCGTATTATCGAATTCTTTTCCTAAAAGTACGATCGCGATTAGATCGAAATATAATAATTCGACTATTACAATTGACAAATAATTAATTAATAAATTACATGAAATTGTGGCGACGATAAATTCATCGAAACGCGATCTTTCATTATTGCAAATAAAAATTGAAGCGAAAGGGGCAAAAATTACAAATTTTCTCGCAATATTCTCCGATTATCGAACTTTACGAATAATAATTATTTCTTTAACATTGCATAGAATGAAATTCGATTTCGCCCGATGTTTTAAACTTTTCTAAACTGCATGCATATATATCATATTAATTAAACGATTGCTATATCATCAATTTACATTACTTTAATATTTTAATCTTATGATTCGCGTTATTATGCATATATTATACATCAACAAATAGAAATAGTTAATTAGTGTAAGAATCGAGTGGTGCATGATTTTGGCTTCGTTTAAAAATCGAGCGAATTATTGTAATTTTTGTGTTCCTCTCTTGCAATAATAATAAAATAATAATAATATTATAAAAATACGTATCTCGTATGATTATTTTGCGTTCGGGAGTGCCGTGCAAAGTGTCTCGCGATCGTTTCTGTATATGACTGAAATATAATTAATTGAAATATAATTGTTTGTTCGCGAGTGAATACGTGACTGCTACGAGGAAACAAAGGATGAAACAACAAAAGAGAAGGACATCTGGAAAAGTATCGGACAGTCAGAAAGCAGGGAGAGAGCCTGAAGCAGCCGGAGACATGCGGTGAGTAATTTATAAAAATTATTTATTATTTATTATTTATATACACTATTTTTAAAATAGATATATTGCTTATTATTTTATTATCGTTTTATTTTTCGATCATTTAAATATATAATTCGGATTGAAATACAGTAAAACAATCGAATCGTAGATCTAAATAATTAACTTAAAAAAAAGATCCATAAAAGATATATTAGTTCTTTTAATAAATAATATCGTATACTTAATCTATATAAAAATGAAATATTATCTATTTATTTCTAAATATTAAATACTATAAATTCAACAGTTATATATTTTGTAAAATTTAATTAAAAGAATCTTTAAGATATTCCAAAAGAAACGAAGAACTTTTCTCAACGTAGAAAAAGTTAATTATAAACAAATTTATATTTAATTATTATAATTAATTTGTATTTAATTTTATTGGAATTTTATTATTAATTTTATTGCATTGTCAAATTTTATTGCATTGTCTCTACGCGATCTCTGTAATGATAGCTATTCACGAAATAGGTACAGTGAAATAATCAATTATTATCGAAAAGAGGCAATAATATACTTTTAAATCTAATTTAAACTTTTGATAAACGATATAAAATTTTTTTTATTATGATGAGAAATCTTTATTAAAGATCAAAATTGCAAATAAAAATGGAAATAACTTCACGAAGTATATTAATCGTTTAATAAATAATTAATCCGTGTGTACGTGTACGCGTGTGTGTGAGTGCGTGTGTGACTTTAAAGATGTGTGTTTAATAAATTATTAATCCGTGTGTACGTGTGTATGTGACTTTAAAGATGTATGTTTAATAAATAATTAATCCGTGTGTACGTGTACGTGTGTGTGTGTGTGTGTGTGTGTGTGTGTGTGTGTGTGTGTGTGTGTGTGTGTGTGACTTTAAAGATATACTTGTGTGTCTGTGTATGTAAATACATTTGTATATAACTTTAAAAATATATATTTCCGTTATGTTAATTATCCGATTTTTATTCGATCGTTTTATTGCGCGTTCTGAATCAAATTATATTTAGGTCAAATGATATCAAAGAGAATATTTATTTATTATATTAGAATTTTAAATGTGTGTGTGTGTGTGTACACATATATATTAGGATAGAAACGAAATAGAAATAGAAGAATAATCATTGCTCGTAAAGATTGCAACAAAGTAATAATTTATAATTTTGATTCCTATCGTATAATCGAGTATCGTATTCGAGAGTATTTCGAGAGCAATCAACTATTTATTAATAATAAAATTGTATATAACTTACGAATATATTCCACTTATTCCGGACGTTAATATCGCGACAACGACGAATAAACTTTTCAAAAAAGTTCAATTCAACTATTTCATATATGAGACAGTTCTACCAATCACTGATACAAAAAACTCGTCAATTGACCAGTTGGTGAAACTGTTTCAGTCCTGAGTATTTTCTTAAAAGAACTGTTGGCGCACATACATGCGTGTATTATGTTTACGCGCGTCACGCGTTCGAACGAACCTTGACATTCTCGCGGGTAAAGTCACTTGTGGTGTAGATAGTGCACACTTTGCTATGCCAGATTGTTGCGTGGAGAAATGCAACCATCGCAGCCTATATCTATACTATTGGACGCCATTTTTGCTCCAACTTATCTTATTGAGATCAAAATTGCGGTGTAACTTTATTAATCTAGTGACTTTAGGGAGGCCTATGTCTGTCTCTTTTGCTAGTATCTCATTGATAACTTTGATTCCCGCCCATCGAGGCGGGAAACAAAATTACCAATAAGATACTAGCAAAAGAGACAGACATAGGCCTCCCATGTAGTACTTCTCTCTCTACAGCGGGCGCTCGCCTATCGCGATGCTCAGTCCAGTGTATATGTCGATGGGTACATCAAAGGTGTTGATATTGATGCCTTGTGTATTTCGCCAGATCACGTATATAGATTGGATTATTTTACATTCTTTTTTGAATTGCTAAAGATACAAGAGGAAGTTACAGATTTAAAGACAGTGAACAAAGCCTTTGTACCTATTACAAAACTGAATTTTGATGATGTAGAAACCAACATGTTACTCACAAAGTTAACTTTTGAAAATATTCCAAAATTGATGGCAGTGAAAAAAGCCTCTGTATCTGTCTTGTATCTGATGTGCTTCATATATGTTTTTTAGTTACAGCCTGCATATGCTTTTTAAATATAGAATAAAATATGGAATAAAAATAATTCTTGTATAAAATTTATTTCTTCTCTTATTATTTCATATATTTCATCTATGAATGGATGATTACTTAAACGAAGCTTATATTTTTTTTTGTATCTCACAGAAAATTGGCAATCATATATGACAATTGTAAAGAAAAATTTCGTTATAAAAATATTCTGCAAAAATATATATACAGCACAGAATCTCTCAGTTTATACTACAGTAATATTGACGTTTTAAAAATTATAATACAGCAATATAGTAATGTTTCAAAATTATAAATTATTGTATTGTAAAAATATCACAATAAAATTTTATAACAATGGATTTTATCTGCTGGTTGCACATTATATAAACAAGTAAACCACTATTTAAAAAAATGAAAAAAGAACAAGTAAAACTTTGCCAACATCACAAATTATTGTGTCTTTCATATTGAAATGCTAAGTTTATCAAAAGCTGCAGAGGAAATATATTATTAATACTTTTGTTTATCGTAACGAAACATTACAAAAATAATCGACAATTATACGACTTCCTCTTCAGTTAGACCAAAATGACGAATTATTAGTAATGATTGTATATAGTATATTACATTTATGAATTGTATATAAAAAAGCAAAGAGATAGTTTGATACATACTGCGCCAATTAAATACACGCATTACCCCCACTCTATGTTACATGTATATCTGATTTAAACGACCATCCGTATTTAAGATTGCCAGTCTTGTATATTCCATCTGTATCATATTCAGTAATATACTGTATATAATAATAAATTGCTGATCAAAAGAGAGAATTAAACTAGAAATTTAAATATTAACAAGTTAAAATTTATCGGTTAAAAAATGTTTAAATTTAATTAAATTAATTTGAAAAATGGTAAAATTATTTTTTAAATAAATAATTAAACAAAATAATAATAATAATAAAATAATAATAATAAAATAATAATAATAAAATAATAATAATAATAATAAAATAATAATAATAATAATAATAAAATCCAAATAAAGCAATAAAAAATTCCAAGAAAATAATTTGTCATCGATCATAAGGATACATTTTAAGTGTGTTTTTTATGTTAAATGTGTTAATTATTTCTTTATCTTGATCGTATCTTTTTTTTTATTTCTTATTCGAGTGGATTCAAATTCAACCGTGAATGAAAAATGCGGATGCTAAAAATAATGTTTTTTTGGTCGTTCTGCCTATCGGTTTGTCATGGATATCGTTTGCTCGGACTCTTCCCCTTTCATGGTAAAAGTCACTTCGTCATGTTTGAGCAATTAATGAAGGGCTTGGCCAGGAAGGGACATCAGATCGACGTAATTAGTACCTTTCCATTGAAAAAACCTTATCCGAATTACACCGATATTGTAAAACTTACACCGCCTCACGTATTTGTTAACAATGTATCGTATGAATTTATGCAAGTTTTGTTCAGTGCGAATCCGGTGTATACTATAGCAACATTGACAGGCAATGATATTTGCAAACATTTAGAAAATCCGGCGATACAAGAGTTGGCTCGTAATCCACCGAAAGATCCACCTTATGACGCGGTACTTATGGAAGTACGTGAGTAAAAACCTAGTATCATCTTCTTTTCTTGAATTCATATATAAATAAAGATTTTTTTAAATTGTAACTATTTATGAGACAAAAAGAATATTAAAATCTACAGAAAAGAATTTTAAATATTTCTCTAGTAGCTTTAATTATATTTAATTAGTTTTAATCTTTTGCAATAAAATGTTATAATCCAATATGCATTTCATAAAAATATTTTCATTGATTTCTTTTTATTTTTAATTTAATTTGTGATTGGATGATAGAATATAAACAAAGCTAATATAAAATATTAATATCTAAAAGTGAAAGTAAAAGCAATTTATACATCCGTTAGTTAGAAAATTTGTTAGCAAATGTATAAATTAAGACATTAATTACGCAGTAGTGTCAATCATATCATTATGATAATGCAGTATTGGCACATACAGACAGATATGAGAGAGTGGGTAAAACATAACGTGAACTAATAAAATCTTTTACTAAATCTGACTAAATAAATTATTTATATTAATAAAACAAAAAACAGCTAATAATAAAAACTGCTGATAATTAAAACAGCTAGTAATCAGAAACAGCCGAGAATTTAAACTTGAGAATGCTGAAAATTAAAACTAATATATCTTCTTCTTTCATTATTAAATATATATACATTCTAATAAATTATTCGATTAGGTACATGTATCTACTATTAGTCGATATCGATAATTATGTGTAAATCAGCATGTAAATATATTCATAAAAAATAATAATTTATTCTTTTATGTTGTCAATGGTTTTTTTTTCATCGGCAATATGTGGAATGTAATATATTTTTTGAGTATAGTTGAAAATTGTTATATTATTCGTATTTCCTAAGTTTTCTTTTAGTGCTTTTAATTGACAGTTATGCTTTTGACGTAAGAGGTAAATTTTCTTGAACTCTTCTTAATCTTTGACTCTTCTTAATCGCTCTAATGTAATATATACTGTAAGATACGACATAGTGTGATGTGCAACAATTATTGTTACTAGAGTTGCATAATCGCGAATTATATATATTTCATAATATACAAACTTTTCTTACATTTAAAGATTACAGAAAGTTTATCAAGGAATATGGAATCATTAATTCTTTATTCAATGTGCACATTTCTTCACGATTGTGCAATTCTTTTATAAATCAAATAAAGAATCTAGAATTTTTGTTTAAAAAAATTTGAACAATTCTTCTTTTGCTTGGAAATACACTAAATCCAATAATAATTGTTTTAGTTTTAATAAACATGTATTATACTTCGAATTATATATAATATTGTTTTATTATTTTGGCAAATATTTTGAATCGGTTATTCTCTCATTAACAATATTTGGCAATTTGCATTAATATTATTAACTTTTACATTGATATCTCTTATATTGCATACTTTAAGATATGATATTCTTCATGTTAGGTTTTTGGTGCTCAATGTTTCGCAATCTTTCCGTATTTATGGGATGTTCCATTGATCGCGGTCAGTACAACGGCACTGTTCCCATGGCTACCTCCATTGATTGCTCAACCAGAAAACCTGGCTTTCGTGCCGAACAATAAAAATAATGCCATATTCTTTTTTCTTGTTTCATTTTTAGTAAGAATTGATTAATTTTATTAAGAAAAAGAGACAATTTTTACTTTTTTGTATTTCTCAGTGTTACTTTCGGCAGCATTACGTTAAATCGAGTATTATGTGGGCGCTTTTCTGTTCTCGTTTTAACATTTTCGTGAGTATTAAAAAAATATGTTACACAACAGTAAATATACACTGCATCATTCTTATATTGGCGGCAGATATTGATTATCCGCTTGTGAGTTACTCTTTCAGTAATCATCGACAATTTGTGTTTCTATTTTATTGTTAGTTTCGGACATTATCTGTTTCACCCAGGAAATGTCAATTGGAGAGAATGTCGCCACCTAAAATGCAAAAAATTTATAAAATATCATGTACAGATAATAAGATTAACATGTGAAAAATGAATGAATCAAACATAGAATAAAATGTGTTGGTCATGAAACACATATTAAATGCTGTATTCAAAAATAAACGATGATTTTCCCTATTGTCTGTGTGTAAGAAATGATATATATTTCTCTCTCTCTCTCTCTATATATATATATATATATGTGTGTGTGTGTGTGTGTGTACATATATATATATTAAAAATTTTACATTTGTAATTAATAGTAACTTTTCTCAATATCTTCTAAGAAGAGAAATTGCAAATAAATTTGTCAGAGAATCTATTATCAAAATTATGAATTATACAACAATCTATATATCATACCTGATCAACTGGGTAAATACAATGTGCAGAACACAGCAATCATACATATCCATGGCTCCATTTCAGTCTATTTAATGTGTCAGATAAAGTTTTGGTGGTTCATGTATAGATAACTAATAGTAACTAATCAGAGAAAAAAATATATATATACATATTTATATAAAAATATACATATTTATGTCAACAAAATTGAAAATATTGTTTTTTTCCATTTATGTAGAATTATACCTTAAACAGCCCTGTATGCTTTGTAGAAGAAACAACTGATGGATGTCCTCGATATTCATGTATGCCAAAACCTTTACGTATTTCATTCATGCTCATTCCCTTCCATTCAGGTACATCTTCCGAGAATTCTGGTTCATTAATATAAATAGACATGGAATCTGCTACAATAAAATATTACGATTTTAAAAGCAGCATAAATGACAGTGTAAAGAAAATCCAAGTAAATCTTTACAGTCTGAATTGGCAATGTCCATGCTGAGGTTTGTTGATAATTTTTCATTCGAGAATAAACTTGTAGAACGTTTCTCATCAAATATGTCCGACTCTGACATTTTATCTTCCATAAAATATATCTAAAAATAAAACATGAAACATATATATATATATATATATATATATATATAACGATACAAGATACATAAAAAAGATACATAATGATAATATTCATTACTTTCGTGAAAAGAATATGAAAACATCAATGCACACAGTACTGCCAAAGTAATTAACACAGCCAAACTTTCAAATTTTTTTTTTTTTTCGTTGAATTTACAAATGTTCACGAATAAATAAAAGGTAATTTATTCATCACATTGCAATATAAGGTATAAGGTCAAATTAAATCATTTAGATTTTTAGGTTGTGTTCGATGCAGAAAGAAGAATGGTCACATTTGGCGGACTCAACTGCTAAATAGCAATCGAACATGATTGGTTTCTACTTTCAGATCCGACCAATCAGTGAATTACGTCGGAAAATCTAGTAATAATGCGGCCAATAAGAATGATAGTTTGCTAGACGTCATTGACCGCATTCAGCGGACTCAACAGTTGGGTAACATTACTAGATTTGCCGATGTAATTCGACGCTGATTGGTCGGACTTAAAAGTAGAAACCAATTATATTCGATTGTTATTTAGCGGTTGAATCCGCTGAATGCGGCCATTAATCAATCACAACTATGTAATCACCAAACATTTTTCAGAAGAATAGTTGTGATTGGCCAATGCTGTCTAATAAACTACCCAGAGAGATTAAATTCGATCATTTGAAAATGACACGAGAGAGATGCCATGTTTTTAGGAACATACCTGAAATCGATTCGCCTTCTATAGACATAAGAACATGGAAAATAAACTACAAAGCCAATAATGTTCATGAATGTCTTAATGGGTAAAATATGCACAATTTCTGGTTGTGATCCATGCTATATGCACGCAGAATAGAGTAAATAAAATTATAGGCTGGTATTTGTATAATGTATATGTGTATGTATTGTTATTTTTTTTGCGTGATTAATATATGCTTCCATAGATTCTTATCCATTAATTGATGAGAAACAATTTTGCAGCATCACGCGGATTCCTCGTGGACTTGAGATACTCCAGTTTATAATTTAACAACATGATTTGAACTATGATGAACTTTGTTCTATATCTTATTATGCTTTGTGTCTTTTACGAACATTATTAAGCAGTACATGTTTAAATAAGATTATTACAATTACTAATGCAAGATAATGATTCTAATTTAAACTCTACATCAAGTGAAACAAACAATTTATGTACTCTGGATATAATATCTCCTATTAGTATAGCAAAGCCTAAATCCATTCACTTTGACAGAACTAACGAATTGAAGAAAGCTCTTAAACTCTACAATGTTTTTGAATCTGAGGAAAAGTTGAAACATAAGACAGAAATCTTGAGCAAACTGAATGCATTGTTTATAAATAATGGATAAAGGATAGAAACATGTCATCTCATGCAGTTGAACAAGTCGATGGTAAAATATATACATTTGGTTCGTATGGATTAGGTGTACATTATAAGGTGTACGACTTAAAGTGATTAGGGTACATCATAAAAGTGTTGATATTAATGCCTTGTGTATTTTGCCAGATCACGTATATAGATTGGATTATTTTACATCCTTTTTTGAATTGCTAAAGATACAAGAGGAAGTTACAGATTTAAAGACAGTGAACAAAGCATTTGTACCTATTACAAAAGTGAATTTTGATGATGTAGAAACCAACATGTTACTCACAAAGTTAACTTTTGAAAATATTCCAGAATTGATGGCAGTAAAAAAATCCTCTGTACCAGTCATAAAAATGAATTTTAAAAGTATATAAATCAATATGTTATTTGCAACGTTATCTTTGAAAGAAATTCCAGATTTGATGAATCTTAAAGATGATATGCTATTCAAAGATCTTGATTAAGAGTGTGCCATGAGTATCAATGCTTGTAGAGTAATGGATGAAATATTGCGCTTAATACCTAATGTAGAAAATTTCAGATTGACCCTTAGGGCTATAAAATTATGGGCAAAACAACAGGGCACGCACAGCAATGTTTTAGGTTTTCTTGGTGACATATCCTGGACAATATTAGTTGCTTGTACATGTCAACTTTATCCTAATGCCTGCAACTCTAATAGAAAAATTTTTTCTTGCATTTTCTCAATGGAAATGGCCATGTCCGGTATTCTTAAAACAACCTGACAATGTCATTCTAGATTATACACTTTGGAATCCAAGAGCATATATCAGACAAATATTATTTAATGCCAATAATTACACCAATGTATCCTCAACAGAATTCTACTTTCAACGTATCCGTATCTTCCAGAACTATCATGCAAAAAGCTTTTAAAAATGGATTGACCACAATTAAAAAGATCATGATAGGTAAAGCAACGCGGGATAAGTTATTTGGGCTACCAAATTTTTTTGGAAAATATAAACATTATAGCATACTGTTAGCCAAAAGTTTAAATATGGAAGATCAACTTGCATGGTATAGCCTTGTCCAGTCAAAAATACAGTATTTAATAGGAAAAAAACCTTCACCCTTACTTTGGCACATGTTAATCCAGAAATATTTCCATCATTAAATCCTGAATTAGATGAATGTTCTATGTGGTTTAGCGACCTGTCATTGTGTGTTTGACGTAATATTGACGACGTTTTGAAACTTATAATACAGCAATATATAATAATGTTTCAAAATTATAAATTATTGTATTGTAAAATATATTGTAAAATATCACAATAAAATTTTATAACAATGGATTTTATCTGCTGGTTGCACATTATGTAAACTAGTAAACCACTATTTAAAAAAAATGAAAAAGGAAACAAGTAAAACTTTGCCAACATCACAAATTATTGTGTCTTTCATATTGAAATGCTAAGTTTATCAAAAGCTGCAGAGGAAATATATTATTAATACTTTGGCTTTTCATGATGAAACATTACAGAAATAATCGACAACTATACGACTTCCTCTTCAGTCAGACCGCTCAAAATGACTAATTATTTGGAATGATATTACATTTGAATTGCATATAAAAAAGCAAAGAGACAGTATTATTCAGATACATACTGCGCCAATTAGATGCACGCATTACCCCCACTATGTTTACACATATATATGATTTAAACGACCATCCGTATTTAAGATTGCCAGTCTTGTATATTCCATCTGTATCATATTCAGTAATATATTGCATATAATAATAAATTGCTGATCAAAAGAGAGAATTAAACTAGATATTTAAATATTAACGAGTTAAAATTTATCGGTTAAAAAAAGTTTAAATTTAATTAAATTAATTTGAAAAATGGTAAAATTATTTTTTAAATAAATAATTAAACAAAATAATAATAATAATAATAATAAAATAATATTAATAATAAAATAATAATAATAATAATAAAATAATAATAATAATAAAATCCAAATAAAGCAATAAAAAATTCCAAGAAAATAATTTGTCATCGATCATAAGGATACATTTTAAGTGTGTTTTTTATGTTAAATGTGTTAATTATTTCTTTATCTTGATCGTATCTTTTTTTTTATTTCTTATTCGAGTGGATTCAAATTCAACCGTGAATGAAAAATGCGGATGCTAAAAATAATGTTTCTTTGGTCGTTCTGCCTATCGGTTTGTCATGGATATCGTTTGCTCGGACTCTTCCCCTTTCATGGTAAAAGTCACTTCGTCATGTTTGAGCAATTAATGAAGGGCTTGGCCAGGAAGGGACATCAGATCGACGTAATTAGTACTTTTCCATTGAAAAAACCTTATCCGAATTACACCGATATTGTAAAACTTACACCGCCTCACGTATTTGTTAACAATGTATCGTATGAATTTATGCAAGTTTTGTTGAGTGCGAATCCGGTGTATTCTATAGCAACAATGGCAGGCAATGATATTTGCAAACATTTAGAAAATCCGGCGATACAAGAGTTGGCTCGTAATCCACCGAAAGATCCACCTTATGACGCGGTACTTATGGAAGTACGTGAGTAAAAACCTAGTATCATCTTCTTTTCTTGAATTCATATATAAATAAAGATTTTTTAAAATTGTAACTATTTATGAGACAAAAAGAATATTAAAATCTACAGAAAAGAATTTTAAATATTTCTCTAGTAGCTTTAATTATATTTAATTAGTTTTAATCTTTTGCGATAAAATGTTATAATCCAATATGCATTTCATAAAAATATTTTCATTGATTTCTTTTTATTTTTAATTTAATTTGTGATTGGATGATAGAATATAAACAAAGCTAATATAAAATATTAATATCTAAAAGTGAAAGTAAAAGCAATTTATACATCCGTTAGTTAGAAAATTTGTTAGCAAATGTATAAATTAAGACATTAATTACGCAGTAGTGTCAATCATATCATTATGATAATGCAGTATTGGCATATACAGACAGATATGAGAGAGTGGGTAAAACATAACGTGAACTAATAAAATCTTTTACTAAATCTGACTAAATAAATTATTTATATTAATAAAACAAAAAACAGCTAATAATAAAAACTGCTGATAATTAAAACAGCTAGTAACCAGAAACAGCTGAGAATTTAAATTTGAGAATGCTGAGAATTAAAACTAATATATCTTCTTCTTTCATTATTAAATATATATACATTCTAATAAATTATTCGCTTGGGTACATGTATCTACTATTAGTCGATATCGATAATTATGTGTAAATCAGCATGTAAATATATTCATAAAAAATAATAATTTATTCTTTTATGTTGTCAATGGTTTTTTTTCATCGGCAATATGTGGAATGTAATATATTTTTTGAGTATAGTTGAAAATTGTTATATTATTCGTATTTCCTAAGTTTTCTTTTAGTGCTTTCAATTGACAGTTATGCTTTTGACGTAAGAGGTGAATTTTCTTGAACTCTTCTTAATCGCTCTAATGTAATATGTATTGTAAGATACAACATAGTGTGATGTGCAACAATTATTGTTACTAGAGTTGCATAATCGCGAATTATATATATTTCATAATATACAAACTTTTCTTCATTTAAAGACAGAAAGTTTATCAAGGAATATGGAATCATTAATTCTTTTTTCAATGTGCACATTTCTTCACGATTGTGCAATTCTTTTATAAATCAAATAAAGAATCTAGAATTTTTGTTTAAAAAAATTTGAACAATTCTTCTTTTGCTTGAAAATACACTAAATCCAATAATAATTGTTTTAGTTTTAATAAACATGTATTATACTTCGAATTATATATAATATTGTTTTTTTATTTTGGCAAATATTTTGAATCGGTTATTCTTTCATTAACAATATTTGGCAATTTGCATTAATATTATTAACTTTTACATTGATGACTCTTACATTGCAGACTTTAAGATATGATATTCTTCATGTTAGGTTTTTGGTGCTCAATGTTTCGCAATCTTTCCGTATTTATGGGATGTTCCATTGATCGCGGTCAGTACAACGGCACTGTACCCATGGCTACCTCCACTGATTGCTCAACCAGAAAACCTGGCTTTCGTGCCGAACAATTGCTTGAGCTTTATTGGTGGTATGAATTTCTGGCAACGTTTATACAATACGCTGCATACATTCTGTAGTAAGTTGTACTTCAATTATCTCACAAGAGAGCAAAGTGAGATAATAAGAAAACACTTTGGACCTAACTTGCCTGGCATACGCGAACTAGAAACCAAGATAGCATTGATGCTCATTAATTCTCACTTCGCTTTAAATGGGATTCAGCCAAAGACACCTGCTGCTGTGGACGTGGGAGGACTGCACATTCAGGACGAAGATTCTACATTGCAACCTGTAAGTTTACTCTTTCGATCTATATAAAAAAAAATAATATATTTTCACTTTTACAATGTGACACATGATAACAATTCGAGAGACAATTTAGTTTCTCGTAATTATGTTAATAATGTTAATAATACTTAAAAATTTAGTTTCTCGTAATTATGTTAATAATACTTAAAAATTAGTTAGCAATCTTAAACACTATTATTAAGTAGTCTGTGTTAAATATATCTATTAAAAGTTTTATATAAACTTGATAAATTTTTTAAATTAAATTAATATATTGATTTTTTTCAATTGATTTTCTTTTTTCGAAACACTGATGATAAATTAACAAGTTGATCTTTGAAGATTCAAATATGCAAACTACGCAAGTTTAAGATTGTTTTGTTTAAGATTGCTAACTGATTTTCAGATTGCTAAAATTTTCAGATTGCATTTTATATCTTCTTTATATAGCATTACATTAATATTTATTATTAAAATTATCAAAATAAATAATCAAGTGTATAACAATGGCTTACGATTTACGATATACGAAGTAATTATACATACAGTGAAAGAATCAATTAATAACATCGCAAGAAAGAGCAATAGTAAAGTTCGATTCTATCTTAAATAATTTTTCAAGATATTTTTTAAGTTATAATTTGATGTTATATTGATCTTTTGTATGGCACTACATAGAAAGAATTATTGATGAATCACGACATGCGATAAATCTATAAATATGATACTGTGATCAATTATTTAATGATATTGCGAAATTTTTACAATAATTTTTACAATAATCTTTTTTAATAGCGAAATTATTAAGTGTCCCGAACCATAGAAACTTATTAGTTATTGATAACACAAGTGAATTTAAGTAATAAAACTAACTGCACTTTTTTGATTTAATTATTATCTATGCGATATAACATAAAGGTATAGCATGAACAAATGTATACATTTCACGTCAACATTTTTTTTCAGGAATTAGAAGAGTGGATAAACGATAGCAAAGACGGTTTCATCTATTTCACTTTTGGTTCAATGGTAATGATCGAGACGTTTCCACGTGAATTCTTGAATATACTCTACGCTTCTTTAAGCAAAATAGCACCTATTCGTGTTTTAATGAAGATACCGAATCCGGAAAAATTGCCACCTGGTGTACCCAAAAATATTTATATGTCTCCTTGGATGCCGCAAATTAAAATATTGAGTGAGTCATTTTATGAAAATTATAAAATTGCCTAATATGTTAACATAATATTGTCGTAGAACATCCTAAAATAAGAGCCTTCATCACTCATGGCGGACTCTTGGGTACGCTGGAAGCGATAGCATATGGTGTCCCAATGATCGGTATACCACTTTTTGCCGATCAATTTATGAATATCGACGCATATGTTGCCAGAAATATTGCTGTGAAACTGGACCTTCATAAAATGACGGAAAAAGACATGGATAGAGCCTTAAATGCAATTTTATGGGATCCTATATACAAGTACTTGCGCACAATTTGTTTCTAATTTCATAAGACTCGATATAAATTTTTTACACAAACAAAATATATCTATGTATATGCAGATGTGATACATGTGATTCAATAATGATTCATCATATCTATTTCAGAGAAACTGTTCGAAACTTTTCTCAAATATTCCTCGATCGGCCATTAAATGCACTTGATACTGCTATTTATTGGATCGAATATGTTATTAAATATGGCAGCAATGTCTTACGATCGCCTGCAATGGATTTGACCTGGTGGGAATTATCTCTCCTTGACGTGTTTGCTTTCCTTTTATTTTGCGCAGCGATTATTATTATGACTGTAGTGTTTATCGTGAATTTTTTGTTAAAAATATTAAATGGAAATGATCATAATTCGTTACATTCAAAGAAAAATAATTAATAACATTAATTTTAGATAGATAATTTTAGATGCAATTTTGATATATATGATTATAGTTATTGTATAATTATGCATTTAAAAACAATTATTTTTAATAAACACTATTGAATAGTAAAAAAGGAAGGAAAAGGGTTATATTTTTTATGAAATGATAATTTTTTTCTACAATTTCCTAATAATCATAAATTGTATATACAATATTTGATTTATGGTCAACAGCATGCAGATATCTCGGGTTTAAATTTTAGCAATCTGCATATTATATCAGAAAACTTTGACTGATTTACATGTTATTATCACGATGTACTTTGCTGTAGATTATTTGTATATGTAATTGCATAAAAGTGTAACAAAATTTATATATTTATATCTATATAAAAGTATAATTTGTATAGATCATGATTTAATTAATGTATATTTAATTCCTGTACATATATAGAAAATATTTCGTCATTATTTTGAATTTGTAAATTTTTATCCATCGTATCTTCATTGATAAATTAGATCTTATCTTGCAGATTTTTTAAAATAAATTTTTATCGTAAATTAGCTCTTGGCTTGCAAAGGCAAAGGCTTGGCTTTCTTTTGTCAGTTATTTTATTTATTTAATTATTTATTTAATGAATTAAATGTTTATCTTTATTTCGAGAAACTGCTTAAAGTCTCAAAGGTCGATCTTTACACTTTGAGCAAGTTATTATCGTTGAGCAAAATTCATCATGCGTTTTTTAAAAATAAATAGATGAAATTTATCGCGCATAATTTTATTATATTACAAAAAAAAACAATTAATCCGAATAATAAGCATACTTTCTATTTATTGGCAATTCACATAAGAAAATATAATTATATATAATTTTTAATAAAGACATTATGAGACTATGTGGAACACAGTTGAAAAGGTTTGTGTATCTTGTATTAAATTAATTGTGAAAATTCTTTCATATTTTTTTCTAAGAAAACATTTATTAAATGTAATATAATTTTTCGACAAATTTCTTTATAGTTTAATCTTACAAAAATATATATCGCTTATACGCTCCTTTCTTTATGTATTCATACATGTGCATATGTAAAATATATGCATTTACCAGGTAAATAAATAAATACGTTGCATCTAAAAAATCTAAGAGTTTGTATATTTTATTTTATTGTCACATTTTATTCTGATGATGAATTGTTGACTTATTGATATCGAGTTTATTATGCAAAACAATTCTAACAAAAGATATCTATTACTATTATATGTCGGATCTTTTTACATTATAAGAATAGTAAAAATATTTGAAAATCGAATGTAAACTTTTTAGCATACGTATATTGGCAATAACATTCTCTAAATATAACGCTATCTATAATTATTTATAATTATTTCCGATAATTATTGTTCAACCTTCGCATATGAATTCTACTAAAATAACTAATACACTGATAAACATGGAAAATACTGATACACTGATAAACTATACTGATAAACATGGAAAATATTGTCGCCTTTAAAATAGTCAATTCTTACTAATTTTTAAATTTAAAAAAATGACATTTAAAACTTTCAGTTAGTTTTCATTTTCATGATATAGATTTTTAGGATTTAGAGAAATATTTAACCTTCAAAAGGAAATTTCCTTTCAAACCTTTCAAAAGAAAATTTTGAATTGGTAGGAAAGTTGACAATTGGCATGACATTCACTGACATGAATCTAAGCACATGATTGAAATGAAAGTCATATTGTTTAAATTTATTTTGTTTATTGAGCTAGTTAAATAAAGTTTGTACTATAAACCTGATTTTTTGCAAAACTGTTGTTATTTTTTAAACATTCTACTTTCTTATTTTACATTTTATTTTTAAAATATCGCATAAATATGACAATTTTTGTTATGTGTCTGGTAAAATGACTTTTCCATTTTTTAATAATGTGCAATTAATCTTTCTTGATCAAAACAGTATATTATTATTATTTTGATAAAATAGGAAGCCAAGATGAATCCTTGGCACATACTGGACTATATGTTGTAATTCATGTACAATAAATTTCTGTGATTGGTTGAGAAATAAAATATATAATACTTTTATAATGCTTTTCATCATTTATAATATGGCGAGAACTTAAAGATTATATAAGTGTTATCATAATGACATGATGCCTCTTCAACATAGAAAAAAGAAAGTGACCACTATTCAAATATTTCTTCAATTCACACGATCAATATCGTATGCAAACGAGTTATCTCTTTCTATCTCAGTAGAATAGTATATCCTGGAGTTTGATAAAAACATGAAAAGTTGGTCGGTAAATATCATTTAAATCTTAATATTAAATTCTTTTCTTAAACTTACTTCAGTATATAAATTAAATATTTTATTTTGTTAAAAAAGTTAAATATTCTATCTCGAACCCTAATAAAAGTAATGCCATATTCTTTTTTCTTGTTTCATTTTTAGTAAGAATTGATTAATTTTATAAAGAAAAGAGACAATTTTTACTTTTTTTTGTATTTCTCAGTGTTACTTTCGGCAGCATTACGTTAAATCGAGTATTATGTGGGCGCTTTTCTGTTCTCGTTTTAACATTTTCGTGAGTATTAAAAAAATATGTTACACAACAGTAAATATATACTGCATCATTCTTATATTGGCGGCAGATATTGATTATCCGTTTGTAAGTTACTCTTTCGGTAATCATCGACAATTTGTGTTTCTATTTTATTGTTAGTTTCGGACATTGTCTGTTTGACCCAGGAAACGTCAATTGGAGAGAATGTCGCCACCTAAAATGCAAAAAATCTATAAAATATCATGTAAAGATAATAAGATTAACATGTGAATGAAAAATGAATGAATCAAACAGAATAAAATGTGTTCCTCATGAAACGCATATTAAATGCTGCATTCAAAAATAAACGATGATTTTCCCTATTGTCTGTGTGTATGAAATGATATATATTTTTCTGTACACATATATATATATATATATATATATATATGTATATATATGATGACTTGAAATTAGTTTGCACGTGACATATTATTATCTTACAAACGTAACGAAAAAAAAGGATTATATAATTGACAGTAATAGGTCGTACATACTTGATTTGTGGGCAAACATCCAGTGTCTTGGCTGTAAATTCCGGCAATATGATATGCTCCCGTGCCATCGTAGCAAGCCAATGGAGATCCAATGTCGGCCTGACACATGTTATTGTCGTTTCGCGCTTTGCCGCAGATTATGTTATGCGCAATGTCTATTTCAGATTCTGCACCAAAAACACGATGTTGGCAAACATCGTGCGACAGAAGATCCACGTCGACCATGTGCATGATGGCTCCAGCATAATGTGCTAAATTCATACATTGCATTTGCATACTTTACTTCCATCTTTTTTTTCGAATAATAGAAATATAAACTTATACCTTGTAATATTGATTGAAACTTATACCTTGTAATATTGATTTGCCCCATCCGGTCACTATGCATTGCGATGTTTCTTGCACTTGATAGTCATCAGGAAGGCATAACGTATTGATGTGTAAGTTAAATGTCGTGGGATGCTCCAAGATTAATATAGCGCTATCATTGCTGGACAATCCTTGTACGTATCCAGGATGATACTTGATTGTTCGTACATGGATAATTTCGAACGGGAGCGGTTCCTCATATTTAAGTTCGTAACCCAATTTCCATTCTCCGAGTTTTACAGACAATTCATTGGGTGAAAATCTGAGAGTGTGATTCAATGTTACAAATTAATTACAATTTTTAAAAAATATTTAATTGACGGCAAAACATCAACTTATTTTACCCATCTACGCAATTGGCAGCTGTCACAACGATGTCCGATGATATGAGCGCGCCGGAGCACAAGATTTTACGTGCCTCCGACCATAAGACCATCACTTGCCACGGGATCTCACCGAAAGCCGCATCGGTTATTTTAAAGCCGCTCGGACGTTGTCCCTTTTAACATATACACGTACAAATAAAAGTAAAATTCCAATTATAAGTAGAATCCCTATTTCTTTTTTCTATTTCTCGAAGTACATACGTATATATTTTTCCATATAATAATGTGCAAATTGTATTCGACTTTTCAATATTCACGTTAAATATCAAAGTTAAATTAAATCATCACATAATTCATAAATATTTGTTAAAATTATTTTTGCTGGTTATTTCGCGTAACGATATTGACAATTTCATTTTGTTGGATACTTACATAATTTCTCACTCCGCATGGATTATTCGGCAATTGTGGTATGACAGAAATATGCTCATTCGTAGAAACAGATTCGTATGGGTTCCTGATGACGGGTGGGGGTGTGTTGATTGGCGTTATAGGAACTTGAGTCGAAATTGGCACCACACGTTGCGGTGTCACGTTAGAATCGCCCGGTATCAGAGGTATGTCGCTCGTGGGTTGAAATTGCTCGTGAATCTGCGGCGGTCTGGGACTCGTCTTGATGGGTGGTTGTGTAACTGGCTTTTTCGGCGGCCGCACTGTTGCAATATTCAGAAACGATGGAAAACCCTGCTCGTCGAAGCCACCGGTGTAATTGGCCGGTAGATTGCCCGTCGGCCACGGGTCCACGTAATTTGGGTCGCGACAACATTTGCCGACTATCCCGGTTGTTGCATTTTTGCAGCTCTGCAAAATGAGAGATTCACGCAATCGTGTATTCGATCATTCTCTTTTTTCACAAGAGAGATTTTTTTAATTTCTATTTATTTATTTTTCTTTCCTTCATTTTTATTTTGAGGAACGTTTCTATTATTAATAAGGAATAAAATTAATTTCAAAAGAGCCCTTCGAATCATCCTTCCTTGCCATTCATAAAACGTTTTCCTTTAACAATATACATATATATATATGCAAATGTGATAAAAAAGTTGTATCTTACACTTAGCGGAACACGTCGTAAAAGCTGTTTGCTGGAAAGGGCGACTGGTTCTGGACTAATTACTCCTTCCAATGTACAATACTGCTCTTCCACGCAGAGCAAGGCAGCCGCGCATCCCGCTTGAATCGAAAACTGGAAGACTGAGTTGGAGCTCGTAGGAGCTGATTTGAGTGGAGGAGCAACTGACTCGCTAGCTCTATCATCGCCTTTATACACAATATCAATTTATATTATATTAAGATATAATAACATAATATCTTAGCTTAGTTCTTCCAATTTTTATATACAATATATTATTTTTATTGGTTTACCAGAAAACTGCGGAAGATATGATATACACGCCAAGGAGCAAATTAACATATCGTTGCATACCTGTTTGGTACTGTTTCTGTTGACTTGTACCAACAGCTATTTGATTGTAATCAAGCGGTATTTCTTGAGTCGTTTTTTTATCGTCGCGAAGTTGATTAGCAGATCCGATCGCGTGTTCATCGTTCGGAGCGGCCTGCAATTCAGTATCACTTTCCAATGGAGTCTCCAATTCGGTAACATCCGCTTGGTTATTCTCCCCGTATGGAACGTATCTCTGATCGTTCTCCAGAGTGGGTTCTGGATATTGATTATCCTTCACTACCGTATTAATTTGATCGTCGTCGTATGGCGAATTATTGAAATCGTATCGTACGGTGCAACATGTTTCGTGGCTCAACTTGCATTCTTGCACCTACATACGCGCAAAATGTACAAGGATTGTTAAATCAGTATAAACTATACTTAAGTTTATATTATTCATGTAAACAAAATATGTAGTTTTATGATGTGTTTTATGATCACTATAAAAATGGAAGATCAAATATCTGTCTGAAATAATAAATTATCTTACTTTTCCTGGCCGAATAAAGCCTTGCTTCAAGGGATGCACGTATCCGTCGATGCACAAGCTTTTGGATACACAAATTTTATTTTGACCACTGCAACTGATAGTAAAATCATCCGTAGCGCTAGGATAAGGTTGCAGTGTTTGATCGGAAGACTGATATATATAATCGGGATGATACTTTTGTGATTCTGATGGTGCATGCGTTTCGTATCCTTCAAACGCACCTGCAATTGTAATAACATTATAATAATACGATAAATTAAAAAAATTCTTACATTAAAAGTACGTAAGCAATATATTTCAAAATGAAACTTTACTTTGCTGAGATTGATCCCAATTTGATTGCGTTTGACCAGTCTGTTGCGATTGAAAAATGTTTTCTTTGTAATTAGAAAAGACGCTGTTTTGAATTTGGGAAGCACGATTGTCACCATACCAAACGATTTGATCTTCTGAAATATTGAGCAATTAAAGTATTTCTTTTTTTCTGGGAAACTATTTTATATATGTAGCTGCTTAACAATTTTTAAGTATTCAATTATAAAATAAACATCTTGGAAAATAAAAGGCATGCATATCTTAAAGTTAGATTTTCAGTTTATATATATTTTTCATATAAAAAATATAATTAAATATTTAAATTAGATAATTAATAAATTATATAATAATAAATTATATAATTAAATTATTAAACAGTTTCAAATTTATATTTTTAGATATCCTTAATAGAGAGTGGAAAAAATTTAAATAAACGTTATATAAATTCTGTATTTGTATATATACTGACGTGTTGGCAATTGAGGTGGCGAGGCTCCATAAGGAAGTCCACATATGTGCGTAGTTAACGCTACTATAACTAGTAGCATTTCTAGCTGTGGCCTCATCATGAAAATCTGTGGGAGGAAAACTAATACGTTAAACGATAATTATTATTTCTACAATGTATGTCTAGAGTAAATAAATAAGCGGAGATTCCATTAACATCAGTTTGATGTCTCGCGAGCCGTACAATGTCTACGAAAAAAAAGAAAAGATTTTTGCATACTTCTTTGGTGGTGACCGACCGGTTCTTCTCAAATATCTCGAATCGTATAAACGCTATATAAAAGTGTAAACTTTTGCTTCCTTTTTCTTAACGTGCAGACAGTCGGCGAATTATTTTAGGAAAGCGAAAAGATAAAATTGTATACATAAGGATACTTTATTATAATTTTATTACACTCCTGTTTACCCGTTTTAGCAACTATCGGGCGATGTGCAGAGAATAATAGTACGACACCGTAAGCTTCTAGTGATTGTATAACAGAGAATTATAGTTACAGAAATTGCACACATGTCGATGACGTGTGGCAAGTTGCATTATTTTTATATGTAGGAGTAGTCTCATTCATCTTGGCGACACTGTATGATGAGATAAAAATTTACATATTTGAAAAGTAAGTACATGTTACATACTTAATTTTCTGTTTTTTTTCTTTGCACAGTTATATGATTAATAATCTATGTTAAACAGATTATGGACCTACGCGCTCTTGCATAGAAGATAATTTAAATCATTTAAATGTCACTACTTTTTTTTGAGATTCCGTTTGATATTTCAAGTTTTCAATGAAAATTCTGCCTTTCTCTACTTTTCTATTAAGTTAATATAAACCGTCAGATTAGCATTTTGTGCTTATGCAAATTTATACACATAGATATACAATATGTATCTGTACGTATAATTATATTATTTACATGTATAATTTTATACATATATAATTCTAAGATAAATATTGTGTCGATATATAATTTTATATATATAATTCTAAAATAAATATTGTGTCGATGTATCTCATGTCGAATATCTCGCAATATATGCAGACTGCCTCAGACGCAATGTAATTATATGCGTCATTTAAATTGATTATTCAAATGGTAATTCTAAATGATTCAAAAACCAGATATAATTTTCGATACACCTTGTATATTTCATTCATTATTGCGAAAGCGCGTGGGATGGCAGATATTGATAGCGAGGCGTTTAAATAGGAACACTTTCAGTTCTCTAGCGATAAAATATAATCGCTTTCAAGGATATAATATGATTTTTATTGATTTTATTGATTATTTATATAAAAATTATATATCTAATCGCTTAGATATACGTTGTATAAAAAATCAATTCTTATTTGTTCAGTGTGAGTGCTAACACTTCTATCAATGATGTCATTTTGCTTTTTATTGTGATTTTTATTGTTGATTATTTATATAAAAATTATATAATCGCTTAGATATACGTTGTATAAAAAATCAATTCTTATTTGTTCAGTGTGAGTGCTAACACTTCTATCAATGATGTCATTTTGCTGGATTAGGTCAGGTCAGGGTCACAAACTGCAAACGCGGGCGTAAGGACACGAATGTATTCTGATATTTATGAAATTCCATTAGCATTATTGCTAGTTATTCGCGATTTTAAACGATTGCATTTCTAATTTAAATAAAATGTCATATATCAATTCATTTCTTTTTTTTATCAAACAAAATCAAAATCTCGAAGACTTCGGCATAACAATAATATAATACTTTTTAAAGGATGTAATTTAAATTTAATTTTCTTAGTTTTAACATTAATAGCAGTTATAAATAAATGAATTAAATTAATTTTTTCTTTCTTCTGTATTTTCTAATTATGAAAAATTATTGCATCAATCTATGAAAAGAAAGAAATATATAATTAAAAATGTCTAACCTTTTCCCCCTAAATAATGTATGTTATCTGGCTATTGATTATATATCTTGTTACTGCCAAATTTTATGAGTCACACGTATACGTCTCATCGTAAAAATCTTCGTGGAATTTTTGAGTCTTTCGAAAGAGAGAGAGGGACGAACACGATGAACGCATTACGGATTTCCCGAGATACTAGTCCGATGATCTAAACATTTGCTTTGCAATTCAACGACAATGTGAATATTTTGTGAGAGTGACTCGCACGCATGCGAATTACACGCTCTATTCGCATCTAAAATTATATCTGCCGTAAAAACTCCAATTTGATACACCTGTCTTTACGCGATAATTGTGCTTCGTTCTCAAGATATAAATTCTAAAGATAGCCTCCAAAGCTACAAACGTAAGATATATTCTCATGGGAAACGATCAATAGAGATTAATTTGTGAAATTAAATTCTTAACCAGTCAAAATCAATAATTAATTTGAAAAATATTCAAATCGCTTGTTTATATCTGCTTTCTATTTCTTTTCATTTTTCACTGATAAATGAGCTTTTCAACTCTCACTGTGAAATAAATTATAACTACATGGTTACTGCGTGAGATAAATTTGGAAATCTAGAAATAAAAAGGCATTCAGTTTTGCATATAGCAATATTTATCAAAAAATTAAACGATACAGTCATATTAATGACTTAATAAATAATTTAAATTGAATTCCTTTATTAGAAAATGTAATTTAAAAAATTTTTGAAACAGTCTTGAAACATAATTACAATTTTAATAATTAGAAATTCCATTTTTTATAGGAATTCTCTTTTAACAAATCAAATATTGTAGAAACTGCACCATGGGAAAAATATATCTTATATAAATTTCATACATTTGTATTAATTTTAAATGCAAAAAGATGAGAATTTTTATTATCTACGACATCTTTTTATTATTTTTACATTATTTTACATTATTTTTACATATTTTATTATTTTTATGTGTGTGAAATAATGTAAGCATTTACAATCGCGACATTTCGTAAAAGAATCTTTACTTTCCACTTTCGATCTTAAAAGGTATTGCTTTTGCGGCTGTTAAAGCGGCGACAAAAATAATAACAGCAATTGCGAAGGATTAACAGCGGCGACCGGGAGAAAGTGCGAGATATGTATAGCGAAACGCCGAAAATTCACGATGCGTTCGATTTCCACGATAAGCGCCAAGCGCCAAGCGCCAAGCGCCAAACCGTGAACAGTCTTGAACGGTCCGGCCATCAAATATTATTTTGCAAATGTGTCCGCGCACACTTTCACGTATACATTAATGCTACTACTTTCTCTCCTTCATTGAATTACGCAGATTACTCGAGTATCGCACAAATCAGACTTATCGAATTCCGCGCATCCTAATATAATTTGAATCTGAATTGAAATCGAAGTCCCGAATTGAAATTGAGATCCGGGTTCGAGCTCTCTCGCGTCTTCGTTTTTACCGCAGAAATAAACCATAGAAAATTCCTCTCTTTTTCTTCATCTCGCTCTCTTTCTCTTGCGACACGAAGACACATAAATAATTCGTCGATTTTGACGCATTTCGTCGGGCGTTTTTGTAATGCGGGTGTAATATGCATATACAGCGTAAATACTTAAGTATTCACGTCCTCATTAATAACTCCAATCGCCGGCCGAATAGCTGCCCAGTAGAAACTTACTTTCGATTTGTCAATCAATAAGTACTTTCACCGATACTCGCCATCTCGCTATACATAATTAAGACGATCACATAATTAACGACCGCATATTAATTCGGCTATTGAGATGTATGGAAGATTTTGCTAATATATTACTGTAAAAAAATATAAGACTATGAATGAAATTACACACACAAGAATATACGTATCATGTTATCATTTATTTCATCTATTTTTTAAATACTTCATTATATTACGTCATTGTGTAATATTATATTTTACTGTAATTAAACAAAGTTTAAATCTAAAAAAAAAACAGTTTTATAGGTGAAATATTATTCATAAAATATATTTTTGGTAAATACTTGTCTTTCGAGTAATGCAAGAATTTGCTATGTCTGAATAATAAATAAATTTGGTTTAATTTTCGGAAAAAATATACCAAAGAGAATCTTGGTTACATTTTACTTTTACATGTTATATATCTTTTATTTTTTCAATTAAAGATATCAGAATCAATAGCTAGAAAAATATATTATCTAATGAAGATATTAGAATCAATAGCCAGATATATTATCATTTTTTATTAAACGTGAAAATAAATTATATAAAAATTCTAAAATATCTTGAAAAGAATGTATTTCTTTACATATACATATATCTTAAAATACTTAATGATATAAAAGATTAATATAAAAGAAACTATAAAAATTTTTGATTTTATTAGATAAGATAATAAGATTGATATTCACGCTACTAAAAGACTCTTGAACTAGAATCTCCTTGGAAAAAAGGTAATTTTCAAAATACTATATTTAAGATCTTCCTCGTGTCAAACCTTTCAATCTATCCGACGAAATGTCAGCGGAACACATTTCATATTTCGATTATATAGCACTTCATCAATCAAATTCGAGTAAAGCCATATTTTTACAGCAACTAATAAATGGACGTCTAATGAAGCTATAGTCTGTTCCTCGTTACGTCACAATAAATGTTTCGTTCGAATCAAATTTACACAGATCGATTGTGTTTTTTGCTCAATTTCCCTGTCCAATGACTAGTCTATGATATTATACAAACGTATGTCATGTTTCTGGGTCGTCTAAATTCTAGGCCATGCATATATCTCTGTAAAAAAAAGAAGTAATCTTATAGCATTCATCGATCTAACTTTCCAAAACATACGTCTGATAGCGGAATGGCTGTTTTTTAAAGGCGTTATCCTTCGATCTCGCATCCCGACATCTCGTAGAGATGAAATTCACGACAGCTTTGCGATCAGATTCGCGCGATTAAAATGCAAAATGCGTAAAAAAGAAAAACATGTGCGATTGAATATATTTTCATCTTCTTTACTTCGTTTTTATGGAAATGCCAAGATATTCAATGCAATTTTTTATTCGAGTAATCATATGCCGTTAATAATTATCGGGATTTAAGAAATTATAAAAACAACACTGTTACATCAAAATAAGCACAAAGTCGAA